CTCAGCTCGGCGCACTGGTGACCCCATCACATCTGTAAGAAGCGGCTAAAATGCCAGGCCTATATAACGTCTTTTTAAGACGGAAAAGGCGGGCAGTCCCACTGGATTTCTGTGCTTTAGGGGGCAGCACTACCCAGGTTGGAAAAGCAGATGACGGGCCATACCGCTCAAGATCAGTCACAGACCTCAGGACAGGGTGGCATAGTGGTAGAAAGACGGAATAAAGACCAGAGCAGACTCCAGGACTAGATGCAGCTCAAATGGCTTTCAAGGTACCTGTGTGGGTAATGTCCTGCTCCTGGGAAGAGCTAGAGTCTGTCTGTCTGTCTCGGAAACTCCCGGGCAGCGTGGCCACCTGGTCCTGCGGGGTTGGCGGGAGTGGGCAGTGACTTGTTTGTGGTGTAGGGAATGAAATAGGACAAAGGCAAGTCTCTGTCTTCAACAAATGGTGTGGGGACAACTGGATTTCCATGAGGGTCGGGGCGAGGCAAAACCCTGACCTTACGAACAACCTTCAATGATGAGCAGTCACATGATGCATCCAGAAAGCCCTCCAATGACAAAGGTGCTCTGGGTTAGACTACATCCCTCCAGACGTGTGCTGTAGATCCTGACCTCCATGTGCGGGGCTGACAAGCTTGAGTTTATCCGACCTGAACTGAGACCACCTCACAACCCGACTTGACACCTGACTGCTAACGGCAGGAGGCCTGACAGGCTGTGGGGCCATCAAGGACATGAAGAACGTAAAGGAGACATTAATGAGGAAAGGGAAAAAAAGAAAGGCCAAAGTGGATGTCAGAAGAGACTGTGAAACTTGCTCTGAATCAGAGCAGCTAAAGCAAATGGGAGAAAGGATGAAGCCAAGGAGTGGAATAGAAAACTCAAAGGGTATCAAAGAAAAGAGCCAACACCCCCACCCCGCAAAACCAAGCCAAACCTTGTGAAATGTGTGAAGACCCACGATTAGAAAACCGAAAGGGAAGAACACCCTGACCGCACGTCTGAAACGGAGGGAACTCAAGAAAAAATATGTGACTTACGGTGTGAGTGAGGAATACAGAAAAGTTCAATGAACTGTCGGAAGAACAAACAGTCTGTATTGAAAATACATCAGAGTGCTCCGTGGACGTGAGCAGGAAGGCCAGACGTCATCCTACAGACTGGACTGTCAGGAGACAGTCTGGGTAAGGACATCACGCTCTCGTGGGCAGGTGTCGTGGGTCGGTTCCGACCCACGGGGACGTGTGTGCAGCAGAAGGAAACCGTTCGGCCCTCAGCCATCCTCACAATGGCGCCCGTGCCTGAGTCCATGGCTGCAGCCGCTGTGCCGACCCGGCGACTTGACCAAACATGCCCTTCTCCAGGGACTGGTCTCTCCTGCCACATGTCCACAGTGCGTCAGACGGAGTCTTGCCTCCCCTCTCTCAGGAGCACCTTCCACGGCAGACTTGTCTGTCCTTCTGAGGGCCGATGGTATCATTGTTAGGTGGTATTGAGTCGGTTATTTTTCACTAACGTGATCATTCAAATGTACCATCTCCTCTGCAGCCCTCCTTCCTTATTCACTGTCCAGCTTGGACATGCATGAGGCGATTAAAACGTGACTTGCCATGGCGTGTCACTTTGGGGTAGCTTGTGTGTCCCCGTGGTGCTGGAAGCGATGTCAATGGTATTTCAAACACCAACAGGGTCACCCAAAGTGAAAGGGTTTCAGCAGAGCTTCCAGACTAACAGGAGACCACAGGAAGAAACAGGCCGTCCACTTCTGAGGAATTAGCCACTGAACACATATGGACAGCACTGAAACACTGCCAGATACTGAAAACCCAATGCACAGAAGCAGAACGCTGCCAGAGACGGTGCCTCAGGATGGAAGGCTTTCAAAAACGGACAGAGGAAGGGCTGCCTTCTCCAAGGACCGTCTGTCATAATGATGTGGACGCAGTAAAGCCTTCATTTGCTGATGGGCTGCAAACCTCAATCACCGGAACTTGGAGTGTAGGAAGCATGAATCTAGAAGTCGGTAAGACAGTGGGTGGTGTGAGAGGAAGACCCTCAGGAGATGTACTGACACAGTGGCCAGCGCAGTGGCTCAGACCTCACCATCAAGGGGAGGGCGCCGGAGGACACAGGGCTTTGTCCTGTTGTACCGGGGTCCATGTGAACTGGCGCCCACGGTCGGCACCTCAGAACCACCAGTGCTGGAGGCTATCATCCCCTTTGGGAATGGCACTGCGCAGATGCAGCTCCCAGTGACCACAGCAGTGGTGCTCAATCTTCCCATGCTCCTCATGTGGTACCCACTGCCCCCCACAACCATAACATTATTTTCGTTGCTACTTCATCACTGTCATTTTGCTACTGAATCAGGCGACTCCCAAAGGGGTCGCGACCCGCAAATTGAGAACTGCTGCCCTACAGGATGGGGTAGAATTGCCCCCTGTGAATTTCCAAGACTGTGATGCTACAGGAGTAGAAAGCCCCATCATTCTTCCAAAGAGCAGCTGGTGGTTTCAAACTGCTGACCTTTCAGACCGCAGCCCATGGAGTAACCACTACCCCACCAGGGATCCTCAGTGGAGATATCAAAGGGTTTAAGCAAGCCAGCAGGGACAGGGAAAGAGAGATGCCAAGCCACACCAAGGGGCCAGGAAGTCAAACACACGTCCAGAATGGACACAGAGAAAGCCTTCACCTGGAATTCAGGCTTCTAAACTATGAGAGAAGACACGTGTTTGATGAGCCCATCCACGTGTGGGGTCCTGTTAGAGCAGCACCAGAGAGCTGAGAAAGGGATGTTTAGAAGAATGTGGGTCAGGCCTGGAGATCCTTCTGGACGCCACTTTGCAGCCTGTAGAGTGGAGCAGGGCCGACTCGGAAGACTCCCCTGGAGGGCTGGGGACGTTTGTTTTCCCACTTCACCTTCGTCACTGCACTAAGTAAAGCACTACGCTCAGCCGAGGGCAGAGTGCTGTGGGACACGCCTGCCCTCACAAGCACTGCGGAGCCTGGCAATGTGGTTCTGCTGGTTGGGGCCCAGATGGCAGTGCCGGGCTCCAAGCTCCCCTCCTGCCCCCAGCTCTGCGGTTGCTGCCTCAGGGTCCCTACAGGGTCGGGTGACAACCAGCAGCACCCACGCTCACTCGGGGCTGCTGCTCCTTAGGACCAGTGCTCCTTCTCCTTCAAGCACGCCTGTCAGCCCTGGGTCTGCAGGGAGTCCACTAGACAAGCCCTAAAGCACCTCAGAGGAGCGGTGCCACCCAGGCCTCCATTAGGGAGGTGACAGGACACTGGAAAGCAACGTGGCAGAGCTAACAGTGGTCACAGTTTCACACCAGCCTGTCTCTGTGAGGGAGTACAGCACCCCATGCCCGCCCCCCATACACACTCCGGGGTCCAGGCACTTCCTGAATGGACATAATGGCCTCAGAGTGAGTCCCCTACACCACACCTGTCCAGGTCCCTCTGGAGAGGACACAGGTGGTCTCAGAGTGAGCCTCCTACACCACGCCTGTCCAGTCCCCTCTGGAGAGGACACAGGTGGTCTCAGAGTGAGTCCCCTACACCACACCTGTCCAGGTCCCTCTGGAGAGG